GTTCGATCTTAGAAAGAAAAGTTTTAGAAGCCAACGCGACGCGACGGCGACCAGCTTTCCATGTAACGACATATCACATGAAGACAATAAAAAATGAACAATCGTGATGGTTTCGTTTCTGATAGCATAATCCTTGCTATTTTTTTTTTGTAGAACAAGGGGATTCAATTTGTGTGGGCTAATGATTGAACGAGTGTTCAATGCATATCTAAAAATGTATTTTTGTAAGAAGAATTCGAAAAGAACAACTCTCGAATTTCAACTTTATTAAAACCTTCATGATTATGCTTGCTAAGTTACACGTATGAGACTAGGAAAAATGTGCAACTTTGTAGGGTGACAGAAAACAAAATATCTGCAACACTTTCGCCTGTACTAGTGTAAAAACACAACGTTTATGTCCTTTGCCGATGTGTCTCGGCTCCAAGTGAAAGTTACAACAACATAATGACATACAAAATATTTCAACATATAGCTGTTACACGCGGGTGTTATAAGCCTAAAAGAATTACAATTGATATGGGTGGAATCTTACTGACACACTTGAAGTTGAATTTGCCCCGTTGTTTACACTGAAACCATTATAAAATGAATTTTCGGGAGGATTAGCAGGCAAAGAAATGGGAAGTAACGCAGCACTTTCCTTGAAAGAACTTACTTGGCCTTTACAGTTGTCAATCAGGTAAGTTAAGCGCCAATCCTCTGATTCCGGTGGTACTTTGTTTTCAAGCGCTTTATGAAGGTAAAGCAGATCTTAATCAAGCTCTTGATGATTCAGATATTTTACTGGATTCAGGCGTTTCAAACGTGGACGCATTACGGCAAAAAAATTCCCGCACGATCGCTGAAGCTGTAACATAAATTGCTCCAGAGATTGCTTGGCCGTTTCCTTATTTTTCCTTAGCACAGTTAGCATTTTTTGAGTTTCACTGATTGATTTTCCCAGTTCTGGATGTTTGTCTTTCAATTTACATTTATTGTGAGAATCACATGCAATTCCGCGGCAATTGTTCCTGTTATGGCCAGACTGATGACAGTGACTACAAATTCTTCCGCGGGGAACGGTTTGGAGCAAATCATGCTCGCCTTTAAGCTTCACCAAGTGGTCTTCCGCACTTGAAATCTGTGCCTCCAAAAAACTGACATTTTCAACAAGCTCTTGCTTACGGCGGTCTAGAGGAGAATCGATCTTGCGTGTAGTAGTAGTGCTTGAGTTTGATGCAGTTGCCGTCTCTCCTTCGGCTGGCCAAGTTTGTGGTTCGTTACTGCCAAACTGCAACTGCTTCGGCATTAAATGTGCAGTACTGCCAGGTTTTTGTGATTTAAGCTTAAGTTGTCACAGTTTGTGGTCCAGTGCTCGCTTCTCCATGAGAAGCAAACTTTTTGGCGACGAGAATATGTAGTCGAGATCGCTGTCTTGAAGATATTGTAAGGATTTGCTGACAGCTGTCAAAGCTCTCTGGCATTTTCCTCTGTTTTGTTTGTCTAGTCACGCAGTGTTATTTTTCCAAAGCGATCGAGTGGACTCTCTAATAACAATTAATAAATTACCAAAATAGTAAATCTCCCTCACCTAACAAAAAAGTGTTTACGCTTACTGCATTAGCTGCGAAGTGATGGAAATCAGAAAACTCTAGCGGCTTACCTTGCAACATTGTAACTTGCGATCAGGCGTAACACGCGGGAAAAAACTGGTGCTTAGTCATGAAAGCGAGGCGTTGGAGGGTAAACAAAAATTGCAAATGAAGACTTTCAGTGAACTTGCAGAGTGTTTAGCACGGATTCCACCTAAAATAACTTTGTACGGACTTCTTTTTAAATACAATTACGTGGGATGTCTCCTGCTTTTAATGTTTAGTATTGATTTGCTGTTTGCAATCAAAAGGGACGCATATATCTTCAAGGAAACAGGATGATTTTGTAGGTTTCCGAAGCATCAGAAGCTCGACAAGTCGGCGATGGCTGGAGAAAAGCGGCAAACATGTTGGCCCAAACTTCACATTGAAACCGAGTTCAAAAGCCAGCTCACTGCAATTCGGTAAAACAAAAATATAAACAATGCAAATCTTGGTGGCAAGAAAAAAAGAAATAAGCGATGGATATATGGCCTACTTGTTAACGCAAGAGATGTGTGCCATTGAACAAAACAGTTCAAATCAAGATGGAAAAAAGGAAGACAGGAAAGAAGCGGTGACTGAGGTTTCGATGAAGTTATGTTTGGTTTTTGTCTGCCACGACATTATTCTCTGGTTTTTTATCGATGACGGACATCAATTAGAACTATCTTTTTGGTATAAATGCAGGAGCGATCGAGTGGAGTACGCTCAGAATTTCAACTTGTTACTCGGCAGACTCGGTAAGCCGGCCACATTTCATTTCAGCAAGTAATTTTCCTATTTCTTATCTTTGGCTGTTAAGAGTTTTAACTTCATGTTCCATAATATTTTAAAAGTGAAGAATACATAAATAAATAAAATGATGGTCTTCTTAAACGGATCTAGACTCGCAGTTAATGATTCGAAACAGAAGCTTGCCGTGTTCAGTCCTGACACAAACATTGCCTTAAATGTTTAACCTAGTAAAATGTGAGCTTTATACCACTTTTTTACCAAGAGCTCTCCGAGATAATGCCGTAAAGGAGACCAGGCAAATAGCAAGCCATAAGATTCACACACTAGAGCTTCTAGTTTTGATAAAATTATTTTATTTCGCAATGACAAAGAAATCAAAAGATTTTAAATTTGCACTGAATTTGCTAAGCTCTGCCAACGTACCTCTAACAATTCACTCCAAAGCGACGGAATTAATATCATCCAAAGGAAGTTGTAAATACAGACATACATAGATATGTGTAAAATGACCCTGACATGAATGAATGAGTCTCGTGAATGAATCTTTCACCCGCTCTCGACTTGACCTGTTTTGAGTAATGGCGGAGGTCTATTCCGTTGACAAGTAGGCCATATATCCGTCGCTTATTTCTTTTTTTCTTGCCACCAATATCTGTTTTTACTTCTGTTTTACAGAATTGCAGTGAGCTGGCTTTCGTATTCGGTTTCAGCGTGAAGTTTGGGCCAACATGTTTGCCGCTTTTCTCCAGCCATCACCCACTTGTCGAGCTTCTGAGGCTTCGGCAACCTACAAAATCATCCTGTTTCCCTGAAGATATACGCGTCCCTTTTGATTGCAAACAGCAAATCAGTACTAAACATTAAAAGCAGAAGACGTCCCACGTCATTGTATTTAAAAAGACGTCCATAGAAAGTTATTTTAGTTGGAATCCGTGCTAAACACTCTGCAAGTTCACTGAAAGTCTTCATTTGCAATTTTTGTTTACCCTCCAACGCCTCGCTTTCATGACTAGGCACCAGTTTTTTCCCGCGTGTCCGCCATTTGTGAATACGGTGTATTGGCTTAGGAAATAATTTCATATCTTCTGTTTATAATGACTCACTAATACTTTACTACAGCCAATTGAGAAATCATTAACTTGTAGTCCACTCCCCTATCTCACTTTTTGCTCAAGGAAAGAAATTTTCTGGAAAAGGTGGAGGGGACTTTGTTGCACATATTTTTTGTGTCCCTGTTTCTTTCTAAAGTGAATATTTTTAAGGAGGGTTAAGACTTTTCTGTAGACATGTATTATTGTTTACTTTTTTGTGTTATGTGTGAAACTGTAACATTATTTATTTAGAGTAAATAAGTTCTGTTTCTCTGTGAGTATAGGTTAGAGAACTGGAAGACTTGGGTGGGCATGCACATGTATTGTGTGCATATGATGGTAGTTTGTATCAAGGTGGATCAAGTGTTGGTGAGCTGGTGTTAAAAACGAATGTGGTTGAAACATTCACGAATTATTTGAGATGTAAGCGGCACTGTTTTCAGCTTTATTTAATCCTTTGCTCTTAACAAGGTATTTGATTTTAAAATATAGGCCTGCAAACGAACAGAATTTTAAAGAATTTGCTTGTAACATCTTGATGGCTAATAAATAATAGATTATTAGAAGTTAATGTTATAAAATTATTTTGTGTGTATAGATGTCTGCATACTCTATGATACTAAGCAGGACTAGTGTCTAACTAGAAAACCTAACGGTTTACTTAGATGCTTGACATTTCCCTGTTTGTAACTTATATTTTAGCTTCTTTCCAATTATCTAATTTCTTTTCTTTCAATCTAAACATAGAAATCATTGTAATGTTATGTTAGAATGGAAATGTGAATAAACTATTGTATTGGATATATATGATTTAAAAATGTTGCTTCTTGATCTTCCATTTTAGGAGTAATAATATTTTTGTTTGTTATTGATGTGCCCCACATATCAACTACATTCAATTGTGGCTTAATGTAACCTAGCTATTGGAATATTTGAAGGCACACTCTCATTACAAAGCAACAAAATTGATTACGTTTAATACTGGGGAAAAAAATGATGAAGTAGATGTAAAAAAATGGTTTCAGTTCTTGTCAAACAAAATATGTGCATTCTCTGACAACACTGGCAACTCCAATGTTTATTGTAACTTTTAACCTCCATAGGTTCCGAGGAGGAAAAGCAAGATATTTCTGTCAAAACGTTACAGCAGCTGTTCAACTCAAGATACGGTAAGCAACAATTTTTTGCAAACTATGTTAATTAGAATGCCTATGCCTACTATGTTAATTAGAATGCCTGAATATTTATTATTTCAAATAAAAAAAACCCTTACATAACTCCCTATAGAAGGTTAGAAGAAGCATGTTGAAAGGGAAGCTTTTATGAATCGCAAAATTCTTACTGTTGATGAGATGAGGCGACTTACTCAGTTCAAGCTGGATGTTACAGTGAATAGTGTTTTATAAATTACTTTAATGTGTTTTGCTCTTACTACAACACTGTAATGACTGTAATTAATAGACACAGGATTTGTTAATCATCATAATTGTTCTTAGTATGTTGACAAACGTCTTGTGTTATTCTTGCAGGTGAACTTACTGCAAAAGATGGCAGTAAAATGCCTTATTCTAAAGTTAAACAGTTGGGCATTATCTTCAAGGACCTGCCCTTGGATTTACAGCCAGAAATTAGCCTATTTCCAAAAAACCCAACACTTTATGGTAGTGGTCAGAGAAGAAAATTGTGGTTGACCTGTCATGAGTGGTCTCTCACTATTTCTCTCTCTACTGCTACAACTGACACCACTATTTCCACTTCCCATACCGCAAATGCCACTTCCCACAACACAACTTCCACTTCCCACAACACAACTTCCACTTCCCAAACCGCAAGTGCCACTTCCCACACCACAACGTCCACTTCTCATACTGCAAATGCCACTTCCCACACCACAACTTCCACTTCCCTCACCACTACTGCCACTTCCCTCACTACAAATGTCACATCCCTCAACCCAACTGTCACTTCCCACACCTCTATAGTCCCCCCCCCGTATCTCTAGCATCACTCCTTACACAACTACTGCTACACCCCCTGTCTCTACTACCACACCCTGCACCACTACTACTACACCCAGCACCACGACTACTACACCCCGCGCCATGACTACTACACCCCGCACCACTACTACTACACCTTGTGCCACTACTACTACACCCCGCACCACTACTGCTACACCCTGCATCACTTATGATAGGCGCTGCATCATCACTGCTACACCCCTTATCACTACTGCCACGCCTTGCACCACTTCTGCTAACCCCCACACCACTACTGTTCCTGTTAGCATTCCGTCAGCTTCCCTGTCTAGTCTTAAACAGCGCAGCACTTCGTGTCCTTCCGGCGTTGTTGTCTCCAAGGGTAAGCAATTATGTCAACTGACACTGGGTTTGTGTGGAGTGTCTGTTGTATTAATCTCTTTACAAAGACATAAAGTTCCGTAATAATATTATTCATCCGGGAACTGAACATTGCATGATTACATTAAGTTATTATAATTGGATGTCATTAAGACCCATAAGTTATTGGCGGTTCTTTGTTTGACTGTTGTGCTACATCAAGTATAGTTCTTATTCGCCCACACAAGGTTTAAAATGTTACAGTGAAAAGTGATTGTTGCTGAAACATAGAGATGAATATGTGCCTGATAGTGGTGCTATGAATATACTCTTGTTGTTGCCCAGTTTATTTGCGAAGCGCACTTCTCCTAAGGCCATTACTAACTTGAGTGATTACCCAAACTAGAACGTGCAGGTGAGCTTTAAATGGGCTAACTTTTATTTTTTACTTTACCGGTAATTTTTTTCAGTTTATAGCTAATTATCCTGGTAATGAAGTTACAAGTAGTTAGCCATCTCATGTTTTTTTTATCTATGCAGATACTGAATTTGGGATGCTTCTTCCAAGCACCAATCGAATAGTTCATGCTGTGTGCGTGCTTTCAGCACAGACTGAGATCCATGGCCACGCAGTTGCCCGTGGCAATGTTGTGGTGGAAGTGCATAAAGTGCTCTCGCCTGGCGTATGTCCACTGATTCGCAGCCCATTCGACGAGGACAAAGACGTGTGCGTTGGGGGTTTCATGAATGGCCCTGCAATCAACTGATCTTTATTTAAAGGACTGTGTTGTCTAAGCTCCACACTATTAGGTTTTAGGTATGGGGCTTTTTTGCCGACTAAATTTCGAACGTGAATACATCAATGTTTTGTTAAATTCATTATTGTTATGTGTAATAATACAAATTGGAAAATAACATAAATCAATTTCGACCGGGTACAGCAAGTTCGAATGCTATACATCGATGTTGTTTAGCGTAAATTGCTTTTCCAAATCATTTGAGCGTGACCGTATACAACTAAAAGATGTTCAATAAAACTAAAAGATGAGGAAGCTGAAATAGAAATGACCGGAAGTCACATGAAAGAAGAGGCCCCGGGAACTAACACTTCCAATATGGCGGAAATAAAGACAGATGATTAGGTGAACCACACACGTTTGAAAAGCATTATGCAGGGTGCACGTATTTGGTTGCCCAACATCGAAGGATTTTTTACGTCTTTGGGTAGGCTACTGGAAAGTGCAGAAGGGCAAAGGAACACTGCGTCGTACGACTCTGCTGAATTTTTTATTCGCCGTTTGCGAGAAAACAAAAGAACTCTTGTCACTTTGGCTCTAAGAATAGAAGAAGCCTTCCCAAATGAAGTTGAGGTGATCTCTGATCTAAACGAACTTGTTTTTATTATGAACGAACTTTCAAGGGACTTTGACAGAATTGTCGAGGACTCGGAACGTTCTACCTTTAGTGCACCAGCGTCCCTAGACGACTGTCTTTCAGCTGTGGCGAGGAACGGTTTAGTTGGCAGACCAAGGCTACAGATCTTACAGGAACAGCTGCAAACTCTGCACAATGACGCCAGTTTTCGTTGGGCTGATATCGGAAGAATTCTTGGAATCTCCGAGAGAACTTTGCACTGTCGAAGACATGAATTTGGGTTGCCAGTTGGTGTGGGGGAGGATTTCAGTGATGTTTCCAACGATGACCTTGACGAGCACGTGAGGGAAATTCTTGAAGTGACACCAAGTGCTGGTCAACACCTGGTTGAAGGGGGCTTGAGGCAGAGAGGCTTACGAATCCAGCGCCATCGTATTCAGGAGTCTATTCGAAGAGTGGATCCAGTTGTTAGCACTTTAAGAGCAGCACAGCAGATAATTCGTAGAGTGTACAGTGTGCCATGCCCCAATGCGTTATGGTAAAGTAAAAGAATACATTACCTCTTTTATAACGAGTCTCTGTTTCACGGGGTTCTCCATGTTTAACAGGCCCCCTTTCACAATAGACCCACCCCTCTTTTCAAAACAGTCAGGCACTTAATTATTTCTCTAAGGGCAACACCCGCCCATAGGCGTACGGGCCAGGGGGGCGAGGGGGGCTGCAGGCCCCCCAAAGTTTGGGCAACTCAGATTTTTTGGGCAGCAAGAGAAAATTTGGGCAAAGCCAGTTTTTAAAGACGTTTCCACGTTTTATTATTATTATTATTATTTTGAAGAGATAAATATTTTCTATTTTAACCAGAGGTTGGCGTAATAATTCAGTTACGTTCACACGAGACAGTGTTTGCCTAGCACGTGATGAGTTTCTGGTTATAAGGGAAGGGTATCATATGCTGATTTTTTGCTTTGTTGGGCACTGTACTGCACTGTACTAGCAGGAGTGGGCTATTTCCAGTCATGAATTGATTAGAATAAACTTCCGCATAACTTTCTAGAATCACCTCTGCTCCTAGAACAGTGTGTGGCAGAACACGCATCAGCAATGGGTCTGAAAGTGAAGTGGCTGACTAATTCTCAGCTTGAATTATAGACTGCAAAACAGTCGGTTTTTTTCTCAAAATCAGTAAAAGAAATCGGTAAAGCGTGGCGTAAGAGTCTTACGCGCGCAAAGCGCGCGAGCCTCACACGCCCTACGGGCGTGTGAGGCGAGAGAAAAAAACCGACTGTCCGTTTTCCATACAATGAGTTCGTTCCGACCAGGGGGTTCAAAAATGTCGTCGAGCTGTCAAAAATCTGTTCGCAACTCCGCCCTCTTTGTGAATTTGATAGACTCGTGTGTTATTATTGACGCTGTAATCCAGTAATTCTAAAGCAGCTTTTAGCGTTGCTTTCCTGTGAAATGTAGTGTATATAGTGAAATGTAGTATATATAGTGGAGGATCAAAGTTGAGTGGAAGTGGCAGTACGACAACAAAGCCTGTGCCTGCTCCTCGAAGAGGGAGAAAGCCGAAAGAGCCGAGGGCTTTGGACAAATTGTAGAATGTGCGGCTGTTGTTTCAAAACACAGTTCGGCAATTTTACGAATGGATGGATAAGCTCGGAAAATGCGTTTGTAGCGCCTACCAGAAAAAGGGAAACGTTACCAAAGTGGGCCGACCTACTGAAAAACGAACTTTTCGTTGTCCTCGAGGAAGGAGAATCTTTCTCCACAAGAGCAGTTTGCTCTCCGTGCGGAACAACGGTTAGAAATTGCCCAGGGAAACTGCACGGCGATGCTTTCGCAAATTAGAGAAGAACTGAACACGCCAACTGACAATGAACAATTATTGCGATTGAAAAGAATGAGCAAATCCCCTCATTCCAAACCTTGTCGTGGTGATTTAGCTCTGTAAATTACTATCTGTGAGAATTTAAAATCCTGCCAAAAACGCTAACGAGCTGGGCCCAGCGTGACAAAACATTGCAGGAAAAAGTCACATTCACAGACACAAAGAAAATCGCTTAAAATTATTCAAATCCAGGAGGCACTTTGGAGAAATAAAACAACCTAGAACCCTTAATCAGCCGCAATGAAGAGCTTTACATTTCTAAAGGGGCCAAAAAAGAAAATGCTCTTGCGTCAGAGGGCAAATCATGCCTACCAGAGAAAATCAATATGCGTGTCACGACCTCTCAGTATGAAATATATTTAATAAGCGGCCAAAATTCACATTTGCTCAGTCAAAACGTTTTCCTCCAAACCATAATCTACTCGACAGAGAAAACAATTCATTGGAACAAGCGGCATGTTTGCATGAGGTAAAAGTCGTGTGTTTCCTACCGATCGCTTTAATAGCCAGGCGAGATAACAATGACGGTCGGCCGTTGCACGGAACTTGAAGAACTCTTTGCATGAACAAACATCTGATAAATAAGGCTTTTGTCAAATCCTGTTGGTAAAACACAGAAAACATCCTTTCCCCTGAGTAGCAACTCCAAAGCTTCCCTCTGCTCCGATTTTAAAACAAATCCCAATTCTTGCGAGCAAATCCAGGCGATCAACATCTGTCATTTTACAGCGAAAGCTTTAGCAATTCATCACGGTATGGAACAACGTGAATGACATGTTGAAAACATTACTTGACAGCTTGGTGACAGCTCGCATCGAAATTTAGCCAATGGGAATTGCCCGTGGCTGGGAGAAGCGGGTAATTCGAACGAATATAACGTATGCAAAACGGACAGTCGGTATTTTTAGCGTCTTTCCCCAGTCTCGCTCTCTGTTTTCAGCCTCATTCCAGACCTTTTGTGTGACTGCTCGCGCGTACTTGAATACGCAAAAATACGGACTGTTTTGCAGTCTACTTGAATTACGAGAAGAATCATAATTTTCTTAAAAAAATCTATCGAGGGGTTTAAAAATTATTCACTAATTTGTTTAAGTAGACCGAAATGTTTACGAAACCCCTAACAAGATCGAGCGCTAATCAAATCCTTCCTTATAGCAATTGGCAGGAGCTATCTCCATGATCTTTCAAACACGTTTTTAATAAGATTGAAACTACTGTGAGGTGAAATTGCATGTCAAAAGCGCTCCGTTTTCTTCAGATTACGACTAAACATCAACATTTTCCCTTTTTACCTTATTTCTAACAATAAAAACTTCATCCCAAAATATCTCGATAACGCTCTTACAGTTCCGTTTTAACTTCACGAACATTGAGGCGACTATTGGAGGAAAGAGCTCCCCTGAAAGATTTTGTAGGAACAGTTCCCAGTGAGAAATATTGCTGCAAGTATAATAGGTAATGGCGTCATGTCGTTGCTATGACAGCTCCGATGTCATTGCAATCCTGATCATGACAAATTTCCCTCTTTATCTAATGCAACTGTGGAGGGAATTTTTTCCAAATGCTTGTTTGTGGCGACGTAGTTTATGCTCAAACTTGGCAGGTATTGACTCTGAAAAACTTTATCGAGCCACTTTCATATGCCAGTAATTTTGTTGCATGGCCCTAGTTTCCTTTCGACTGTTTTGTAAAAATTTGGGCAACTTGCAACAATTTTTTGGGCAAATGGATTACCGCCCCCCCTGGCAAAAAATTGCCCGTACGCCTATGCACCCGCCGGAGAGGAGGATTCCCATTTAAAAAGGGAGGGGGGTTCTCTTCAATCGTTTTAGGGTTTAAAAATGCGGGTTTGGTACCTCTCAGGGTGTTCAGCCTCAAACGGTCCATTGGGAGAGCTTTTGCAGTTTCTTTTAGGGTATTGAGCCGAAAAAAAAAATGACAGTTAGGAGATAATGTGTTGTTTCAGAATTGTTACCTCTCAGGGATGAAAAACATTTCAAGCTACGCACACAAATCAGGATCCTGGTACCTCTAAGGGGTTCTTTTAAAAATTTCCGACGAGCACTCCTGTTCTTTTTATATGAGAGTCCTCCCTCCCCTCTCAGCAGCAACACCGGTGTTAAATCCATGATACAAGAGAGGCGAGGCTGTAATTTTGATGCATGAGCATTAATGCCAATTCAAATTCTGATATATCTCATGCTTTGAAATACCTCCCCCAATTCTATTTGGACTCCTCACTAGTCACCCTAACCCAGCTTTCCAGCCCCCATCTTCCCCCGATATTATGCTGAAAATTCCTGACTATCATCATACCTGTTATTCATGGTCAACAAATGCCTCTTGTTGCTGTCATGATTATTACTATTTTATTTGTTGTTGTTGTTATTATTATTATTATTATTATTATTTATCATTACCAATATTACTCATGTAAGCAGATTTTTAAACTTCTTTTACCTATTTTAACCTAACCTACATGTGATAGTGCAGTGTAACAATCTCTGTTGTGTCCAACGGGCACATTGATGGCAATCACAAACTAATCCAGCCATACTGAATTGTCATTCATGGTGGTTTAGTTGGTTTTTCAAGAATGATAGTATTCCTTCATGCATCAACCAATAACAGGGCTTCAACTGTACTGCAGTATTTCCAGTCAGCTGTTGAGCACTACAATTTACCATCAAGAGTTCGCAGTGATCTTGGGATGGAAAACATTGAAGTTGCTCGCTTCATGCTGCAAGAAAGAGGTTTACATAGAGGCAGCCACATCACTGGAAAATCCGTTCATAACCAAGGAATAGAGCGACTCTGGTGTGATGTCAACCGGGTTATTGTGAGCTGCTTTTTTAACATTTTCCTCTTCCTTGAGCAGAGTGGAATTTTAGATCCAACAGACGAGGTGCATCTGTTTTGTCTTCATCTTGTGTACATTCCACTGATTAATAATGCAATCAACCAATTTATCGGTCAGTGGAATAATCATCCTGTAAGCACACAATGCAATTTCTCTCCCAATCAGCTCTGGATACAAGGAATGTTAAATTCCAGAAATTCTGGATATCAGGTTGTGACAGATGTGACTGCCACAGAGGCTGTTAATTTTGACCATTATGGGATCGATGAACAAGGGCCTGTACCTGATGTGCAGAGTGACTATGCAGTTTCGGTACCTGACACAATTACTACTCTGACACATAACCAGGAATTGTCACTGCAAGAAGCTAGAGATGCAGTCTTCCAAACTGGTGATCATGATGGAATCATAGCCTACCAAGTGGTATTGCAGATTGCTTCTTTTTATTTAAACTGTTGTTCATGATTTATAGTATTGACTTCATGTACATGGAATATGAACTCTGCATACAGTTACTATAAGTTGTTTACTATTAAACTTGAGATCTAGCCTTGATTTGCAGTCACTCAAAGCTGTGGCAACATTGCATGCATAATGGCTATTGCAGAGAAGTTTATACTCTTATCACTGAGCTCTTGTAAGCTCTTCTTGTTACTGTTTGTCATGGTGTTAACGAAACAGTTAATTTGCTGAGTAACTTGAAACTTGAACTTTGAACACAGAACATTTTCTACTATAAGTAACCTACACAGAATGGAAAATTTTCTTGTTTTATACGAAGGGTCCACTGGCACATTTTCCTTGATCATAGCTTAGGAAATTAATAAATTGATATTTTGCATTAATTTGAGCAGTAGAAATTTCTAGCACCAAAGGAGCAAAGACATTCCCGTAAACATAAAATCATGGGTAATTGTAACAATTACATAGATTTTTTTCCTTAAAACCTCAAGTTATCCCTTTCATTCAATCAAACTCTCTTATTTAATTCCTTAGTGATTATGATTCATGTGTTCTGTTCTTCATGTCCTATGCAATATGCAGAAAAAATGGTTTGTGGGTCCAAGAATAACACAACTGTTAACTGAACTTAATATACCAGTAAGTAAGGAGCATCCTTTCATGCCTATATCTTGTCAAAACCAAGTTTGCCATACAAAATACTCTTATTAAGGTAATCCTTGAATACACTGTAATCGTTGTGCACTACTGGGATAGAAAGTTCCAGAGTGCAAGTGCTGGACTCTGCCAAAACTTTGCTGGGATGATTTTCAAGGTACTTCACGAGTAACTTGGTGGTTACATCTGGGGGTAGTGATGGACATCCAGTCCAAAATAGTACCATGTCTTCTAATGTTTCATTGTTATCAGCACCATCTGTTGTTGAAACAAATAATTTCAGTAAGATGTTCTTGTTTGTGACCCAGCTAACCAGGGAAGTGCACTGTATTCATAATTTAACTGCCTTCCAATTTTGGGGGAATTTGTTTCTCATGTAAATACATTATCAATTTTCTTTACAAGTCCTTGATCCCATGTAAATCATACTTTTCTTTCTTATGAGCCTCTTCACTAAATCACTAAACTACAGTCTATCATTGTAGAAAACCAACATTTACACCAACAGAGAATCCCAATACAGTTATCACTGAGTATGACAACCATCATCATCACCATCATCAATTTTAGTTAAGTGTCAGGGTTATTAGGTTATTGTATACAGATAGTCATACTGTTAGGATCACCTTTCTCATGTAATTCATCTATATATTGGAGAAAAAACTGTTGAGCTGCTTGGTTTACAGGATCAGCAGTTTCTATCCTCTCCAAATGTAACTTGAGCATCATGACATCAATTTTGCCAGTGTGTGGAGGAAACACACGTTGCTGAACGTCAGGAAGTTTCCGAAGTAAATCGAGGAGTGTTGTTTGTGACACTTTAACAGAAGCCAGTCCCTTCCTCAAGTCATCTAAGGCAGGGATGCGCTTTGTGATGATTTCATACAACAAAATGCACTCATATGCTAGGTGTCTTCTCTCCTCTGTTACACTTATATGAGGGTGGCCAGCAGATGTCAGCAGCTCTGAGATATTCATGGAGCTTGATGGATTGGTGAAATCTGTCAAAGATTCTTTTTTGCATTGAAGAAGCTGTTCACAGAGAAACATTAAATAAACAAACATTACCACAACCGCACTAAAAGTTTAGTGCATGAAAAGTATTACAAATATTGTAAAAATTGGACTTTGTTGCAAAATGATACATTACAGACAAATTCTGGCATTCGTTTACTGTGTGCAAGACTGTTCTTTGAATACAAGTACCGGTAATAGGATTCTCTTAATGGGCATCTTGCTTCTTCCGACACTAACTATGACACATTGCACCCTATTTTATGTAAACCTTGTTTTGACTAATGAAGTCACCAAAGACAATATGAACCTAAACACCCAACATGACCTTGCTATCTATTATAAAATCTACAGCTGAATGTTTTTGCAAGCATGAATATTTTTAAAATGAAACACACCTGGGTGAGCTTTTCTTTTAAATCTGGATCTGGAATGTCTTCCAAAGTAATATATTCCACTGCTGAATCTCGACTTCCAGTGCTTATATATGAGACTACAGCTCGAGAAATTCCTGGGACACCATTGCAGTCATTCAAGATGGCATGAAGAATCATTTTGCCTGCAAGGATGAACAAACCACCTGACAAAACATCATAATTGTGGATTGGTACTAGGTGCCCTGGTAGTCGTTCAAAAACATTGGTAGCTCCACCTGGTCCTTGTTTCAATCTTTCCATCAACAGATGGAAAAATTCCCTTGATACGCCACCTGCATCAATTCCAACCTCGTCTACAAATTCAACGCACAAACGTTTGGTTATGTCAGAACTGGGGTTTTTATATTTTCTGAGCATCTGCTTCAAAATATCTGTGTTCCTGTCCACAACTACATCAAGATCACAGCCAGATGGCTTCACAGCCTCCTCAGTAAATGCTTTGAGAGACTTTGCTGGAACCTTTGCATTCGCCATTGCTGCTAAGGGTGTATCCCAAAGCCACTCCTCATCTTCTTTGGTACTTTCAGTAGCTACACAAGTGATACCTATCAAAGAAAAAAGGCTTTAAATGACAGTTTTTCCTCTATATCCACCTGCTTGCTTATGCACCAAATGCCTAATGTCTTGTTAAAAGAAATCTGACCTACCAGACAATTTTGCGAGTGTATGGTCTTAATGATGATGCTATTGCTTTCTTACAATCATACTTGACTGATCGTCAGCAAAGGGTCAAGTTTCATGGGAAATTCTCTGAATGGTGTCCAGTCAAATGCGGCGTACCTCAAGGTAGTCTACTTGGACCCCTGTTATTCAACATTTTTCTAAATGACCTAAACTTTGCTGGACAATCTCATCTTTGCGTCTATATGCTGATGATACTACAACTTATGCATCTAATCGTGACATCATCACCCTGGAAATCTCTTTAAACCAGGACCTTAACATTCTGGTCACCTGGTTTTCTCAAAAGTATCTGATTGTCAACAGTATCAAAACTCAACGTATGATACTTGGTAGTAACACTCACATCCCTGAATTTTTCATTGGTGATACTAAGGTGGAATGGGCAAACTCTCTTAAAATTCTTGGGGTGACTATTGATAACAAATTGACTTACTGTGAACATATATCCACCATGCTCAAGAAAGTCTATGCCAAGATTGGTGCTCTAAGATTTCTCAAAAGACTGATGCCTCATAACATGTCCCTACCACTTTACAAGGCCTACCTGCTTCCTCATTTGGAATACTTCAGTCCACTACTTATTGGAATAAATAAAACATTGAGCTCTAAACTAGAGTCAGCCAACAAATATGCACTTAAAACTCTATTAAATCTAGGTAATAATCTTGACTATGATACTATATTATCCTTGAGTGATATGCAGTCTCTTGAACAAAGACGCCATTATAGTTCTCTTGTTTTATTATACAAATGCATGTACTCTTATGGTCCACAATACATCAAGAACTTTTTTCAGACTCGTCATACAAAATATAATTTAAGAAGTAGGGGCATTAATCGGGAACAACCTGGCTATAATAATAAATTTTTTCATAATTCGTTTACCTATAAAGTTAGTCGCCTATGGAATAAACTACCTGCATATATTAAAACATCAAGTAAATTTAGTGACTTCAGTAGTTACCTAAAGGCTTTTGACTTCAGCAAATTAGGGTCCAGCTGTCATTGTAACTCTTGTATATAGATTTTTTTTAATTAGTATTTATTTTCCATTTGTTTCCTAATAGTACATGTATTTCCTACCTTTGTCTAGTACCTTAAGTAATTTTAATATCTACAATTGGATTCTATTTACATTTTTTGCACACTTAATGCTCTGTTCTTGATATATTTTTAATTATAGATAGTTTTATAGTCTTATGTTTTAAACATGAGCCTCTGGCTCGGGCAAAAAATAACTAAATAATTTATGACCTTCTACATCATTTATATTACACTGAAAGAAAAATACTGAAAGTTAACTAGGCAAATGACACCACATACACTGTTTTATGCCTTGACACTGGGTGATGAGCTAGGATGGTCAACTGATAGTGACACATTACAGTTTTCATAAAATTGGCAATTAAGATGGAGAAAGACAAAAGAAGCAAACCAAATTATCAGAAATATTACTAAATATTATTCATCTGATGTATCCCAACATTATTTACCCTCGTGAAATACCTACAAACACACCTGTATGATTTTCCTCAAGAAGTATGTTGATGGCTCTCCCCAAATCTGAACCAGCACTTTCCAGAGCCTGTTCAATTCGCTCCTGCTTTAAGTTAGGAAACATTTCTACCAGGACATCCAATTCCCTCTTTTTGGTCAATTCATTTGATGCTTCAGACTGAATCACGATATTTGTGGTATCTACATTACTAGAAGGTTGGTAAACATCAGAGGATGGCATCTTTTCTACCACAAGCAAATGTACATCAGTTTGCTGTAAGCTTGATGGTGGAGCAACGTCTTCATCTGTACAACTGGGACCTGGTTCAACAATAGGATTTAAGACAGGGAGCAATGTACTTCCTTCCAAGTAATCCCTGATGTCCTTGTCACTAGAAACCTGACTGTCATCATCTTCACTCTGAAATAATATTATATACTTATATTAAGAATAATTATTTAGATGCTAGAAAAATAGTAGTTTGATCTTTGAAAGACTTCATAAGACATTAAATGGATGTTAGAACTTTAAGCTGGCCAAGAAGGAGCATTGCGTTCATTCATCTTTAATACAGTATTCATAGGAATGAAAAGTCAAGGAACCTTTGTTAGAGATTATAGATATTATAGAGAGAGTATAATTAATTGTTTACCAGATAGCAAGGAAGATCAGACAAAAAGAAAGAGATGCTCATAAAATATTTCCATTCCCAGGAGAAGTGCCACAATATTTACATCATGCCAAATACGGTAAAGAAAGCTGCTGTGTACTGTATACTGTATTTCTGCACGATACGACAAAAAGTAAACATTTCAGTTGCTAAAAATTATTAAGCAATCACCTCTTTAGAACTCAGAACTTCTAATGTTCGTATATACAAGGGTCCCTGCCCTGATATGTGTCTTATTACACGGGCATTCCTCTCTTGGCCTCTTGGTACTTGCACAGGCACAATATGGGAGCCAGAGCTCTTTACAAATTCAAACCTAATCAAAAAATTATAAAAGAAACTACTCAACCAGAGTGAAACAGTTTCATCACTCTCATATTTTC